AATAAACTGCCTCTCGAGATCAGGCATATTCAATTTGAAAGGAAGTTCAGATCTACAGTGAAGGCATTACTATTGGAGCGGCTCTATTATAGTGTATCAGAGTATCTGGATGACCAGTTTTAACGTTCATTTCAGCAGAGCTTTTCATCAAAAAGTCTACCTAGGTTTTAGTCTTAATCTTAAGTTTAATTTGCTTGACTTGTGTATGTGTTACTAATTCAAATTTTGTTTTTTTTTTTTTTTTTTGCTATTTTTAACTTGTCAATTCGTTTGACGGCATGTTAGGCATTATGTTAGTTTAAGTTTATGTTCAATACTGCATGTGTAATTCCAATGACCATATTGTTTTATATTTTATTTATTTTATTGGCTTTGTCAACAAGAATTTAAAATTTTTTATGACAATAAAGCATATTTTGATTTGATTTTTGATATTTTAACCCTTACGTGTGAACCCCTAAGCGGGGGTGACAGGTACCAGGTACCCCCCAAAAGTTCAAATGGAAAGGGGGGTCGAGTGATGCGTCATTTGTTAGCTATTTTTATTAAGATTATATCCCCAAAGTTTCAAATTCCTACTATCAACCCTGTCGAAATAGCTTGTCAAAGCTGTGTGTTTTTTACCTCATATTAACAAATTAACATATTTTTCAAGTGAATAAACATTAACCATTTTGAACTGAACTGTTGAATGACGATACTTAGATTAAATGCCAATGTTATTTTATTACTATCAATAGGTAGTAGGTACCCTTCAAAAATCTGTTCTTTTGTTATTATGTGGTAAAAATCACACAGTTCAGATACCCGGGAAAAAGCAAGCATTTTTCCTAACTTTGACACACTGCCATTTCGGTAGAAAATATAGTAGCAACTTAAAACTTTGAGGATATAATTCTTACAAAAATAGCTACCAAATGACGTATTACTCGACCCCCTTTTGCATTTGAAATTTTGGAGGTACCTGTCTCCCCCGCTTAGGGCTTGACAGGTAGGGAGTGAAAATACCAATGAAATGTGTCCCCCGTAAAACAAAAATTGACGTGTTCGAGCTCCTGCTGCTTTCGAGGGATTAAGCCCAAATTTGAAATATAGGTTATGCAATAGGAGCTAAATGATTGTACCACATGGATTGTACATTCCACAGAAAGATTGAATCATAAAGGTACTTTTTGCATTACCAGCTTTACCAGACAATTATTATTGCTTTTGAGAAAGATGGTTTTTGTGTTTTTGGTGGTGTCGCCTTTTGACAAAGTCTGAGCCTCGGTCTGAGCCCTGATGAGTGATGATGGCTCAAAGGCGAAAGCGCTAGGCAGCTAGTACCTAATATACACTACGCTGAATATAAAACTAGTATTTTGACTTTTATTTCCTAATTGTCAAGCACAGCGTACAACTGAACAGTTTCTATTTACAAAAAAGCATGTAGTTAAAAAAATTATTATTTATTAAATTAATTTCAGTACCTACATTTTTGAATTTATTTTTTTATTATTCAACAAATATTTAAAAAATAGAATGAATAAAAAGATGTTGCTCTGGGGGGGGGGGGCAATTGCCCCCTTTGCCCCCCCCTAGATACGCCAGTGTGCGCGTGGAAACCCGGTGTATTTCACAGTACCCCAGTTAATTTTGAAATTTATCCATAGTAGAGTAATAGTAGACACCAGAACTATGGAGTGCTAACCCATAGTTCTGACCCCAGCAGCCTCCATACATCTCAACGAGCCTTCAAATGTATCGCGTAATGTCTGATGTATCGGGATGCTATGTCCCGCAATACGGCTGGGGCGCCTGAAAACTTTTTCCGTTATATTAGCTTTATTTTTGCAGAACTATTCATAATTTCTATCAGGAACTCTAGAACTATACCCTTAGAACCGAAAAATCACTCGAGAACTGTTGCACTATCAAAAAGGGGTGCGGCGCGAAGTTAGCACCCCTTTTTTTGTTTTTTAAAAAAAAAATACTTAGGCATGAGAACTATTGTTGCACCCCTCTCAGAACTCTAGAACTATCCTAAAAGTACTCAGAACTCCTGAGAAAATCAGGTGTGCTTGATTTTCGGGTGCCAACTTTGCACCCTTTCTAATGAATAATGATCGCAGTGACTTGAAAATTTTAGGATTTATAAATTGAAGTTTCCTCTCTTTGGAAAAGTTACTTTGAAGGTAATTTAAAGCTTCAAACTAAATTTGGGAGCTTTTTCTTACGTTAATCCATGCAGAAATGATTAAAATCTGCAAAAACCATATGTGCAAAGTACTTCTAATGATCACAGTGACTTGAAACTTTCAGGATTTATGAATTGAAGTTTTCTCTTCGTGGAAAAGTTAATTTGAAGCTCCAAACTAAATTTGGAAGCTTTTTCTCACGTTGATGCATGTAAAAATTATTAATATCTGCAAAAATCATTTATGCAAAATACTTTTAATGATCACAGTAACTTGAAACTCTCAGGATTTATAAATTGAAGTTTTCTCTTTGTGGAAAAGTTAATTTGAAGTTGATTTGAAGCTCGAAACTAAATTTGGAAGCTTTTTCTTACGTTAATGCATGCAAAAACGATTAAAATCTGCAAAAATCACTTGTGCAAAGTATTTCTAATGATCACAGTGACTTGAAACTTTCAGGATTTATAAATTGAAGTTTTCTCTTTGTGGAAAAGTTAATTTGAAAATCCTGTTTTTGGGTTGTTGAATTTTTTGAAATCTTGACATAGATATGAATAATTGCTCATATTGGCAATTATAACAAGGCAAATTGGCCCTAATCATATATTTTTTGAAAGAGCATTGAGTTTTTCATAAATTGAGTAAAATTTGATATCAATGGCTCATACGGTTATGAAGTTACTGAGCTTCAAACTTGAGTTTGAGTTGAAATTTTGTTCGGTGGTTCTTCAATTATTATTGGATTTTGCTCTATATTTTTCACACAATCTACGTGTACTTACATAATTTTCTATATCTGAATTCATATTTTGAAACAATTTTATCAGAATTTTTAATCTCATTCTTCAGTTCAGTGAGTTGTTTAGAAATGAATCAAAATTTTCATTATTCATTAGACATCACGATTGCCTTATTTACAACGCAATTTGGGGTGATTTATCAATTTTTAAATTTTTCTCATTGCCTTTTTTCATTAATTTCGGCTTCGAATCTGGGAATAACTTGGTGTATGGAGATCTCAACAAAAAAAATTGAAATTTCATCGTTTTAGTAAGAATGATTTAGATTTTGGAAAACTTTGAAAGGTCATAACTTTTTTTCTTTTAAAGATGGAAAGCTGAAACTTTCACTGAATCTCATCTCACTAAAGGGACTATAATCCCCGAAAATTTCAGCTCTTTTGCGAGATAAAATCGTGTTAAGCAATTTGGAGTAATATATCAATTTTTAAATTTTTCTGAGAATAATTCAGTGTATGGAGTTTGGGGGATGTTGAAAATAATAAATTCTCCTGAAAAAAATAGCAATATTAACAAATCTCCAATAATAATCACATAAATACTTTACTTCTTTGATCCAAGGAAAATTCAAAAAGCCTTTTCCATATCCATTCTTTGTCCAGGCACCAATACCAATAACTTCCCAATAAACTCCTTGGCATTATCAGACACGCTACAAAAATACTCGTCTGGATAGCAATGCAATAGTGGCATTCGAAAATATTAGCAGTGGTTTCTTCCATCGAATCGTCCAAGAATAGCGAAACTTCCAGTTAAAAGGACATAGAGAAAAACTCCTGCCGCCCAAACATCTGTATGTTTACCAACAGGCTGACCTAAACCTAAACGAATTCTGGTGAGGCAAACTCCAAACAAGCAGGAGGTAGGATGACGTTTTTAGATGTGTTTACTGAGTCACCAAAGTCTACTAGTTTTAATAGGGGTGGTGAAAATGAAGTGTCTGCCATTACGTTTTCAGGCTTAATGTCCAAATGTACCAAGTCTTTCCTGTGAAGCCAGGCTAAGGCTGAAATAAGTTGGCTTGTGTACAACTTGACGTCGTCTTCTAAATAATCACCTCTTTCGGCTAAATAAGTGAACAATAATGGCCCTTTTACCCTAAAAAAAAAACAAATAAAAATCTTAATATTGTATCTATAGGTATATATAAAAATTAATGCCACTTTTCGTTGTAATTTTATAACTCAAGAACGGGCTCACCTAGCCAAACCAAATGTTTGAAATTTCATCGTCACCATTATGATTTAGATTTTGGAAAACTTTGAAAGATTATAACTTTTTTTCTATTATGGATAGACAGCTGAAACTGAATTTTATCCCAATCAAGGGACTACAATCCCTGAAAATTTCAGCTCATTTGCACTTATAGCTCCTGAGATAAAATCGTGTTAAGCAATTTGGGGTGATTTATCAATTTTTCTGAGAGCCTTTTTCTATAGATTTCGGCTCAAATTTGAGAATAATTTAGTGTATGGAGTTTTGGGGATGTTGACTGACCATTAGGATACAAAATCTCGACAAAAAAAAATTTGAAATTTCATCGTTTTAGTAAGAAGGTTATAATTTAGATTTGTTTGCTCCATTTTAACAATTCGTTGTTCAAGTTTTATGCAATTTTCTCTATTGTCTCTGAGTTTTGGTTCTAGACCAACAACTCAAGCTTACTTAGCCTCTTTACAATATTTAGAATATTGAATATGTTCTCTTTACTATTTATTTACTTATAAAAAATACATACATTTGAAACATACCAGAAACCTTATGAAAAATGTATCTACTTCCACTGTTTTTACGGTTTTCCATGGATGCTTCACTCCAATATGTCATGTTCAATCATACCAAACTGGGATCATGCCCCAAAAGCCAAGAAAATTTTCAAATTTTAACGTCAATGCAGATTTAAACTACCAAGACTTTAGGAGCTTATGAATTTAAACTGTTCTTATATTGAACTGCCTTATCTATGTCAAAAAAAATCATTTTTCTTCTTATATTATTTAGACAATGGCAACTTTTCTTCCAGGTTGTGACACATTAATCATGGGCTGTGGGGAAAACAAAATCACCCTTTGGAATATCGAAGGCGGTCGTTTGGCAGCTACCATTGAAATGACCGAAATAAAGTCTCCACTTGCCACTCTATGGGTCAAATGCGATAGGGTAAATTCTCAATAATTTATTTCAAAACTAATTTTATAAACTTAATTTCTCAATTTAGGGATTTTTATTCACATTGCAACAATGCGTGGACAGGGAATTGAGACTGATTGCTATACACAGCATGAACCATTCTTGGAAGAGATTGGCTAGTTATAAACCACCTCTTGTTTATGACAGGTAATAATTTTATGTATATTTTGTCACTCACTCAAAAAATTATTTTTCCTCTAGATTAAAAGGTGTCTGTGTGGAAAACGGTGTAGTTTTAGGCTTCTACGACCAAGGCATTGTTTGTTGGAATGCCAAAACCGCAGAAATCGTAGTGGAAAATGCGGGGCGCACGGAAACTGAATATATTTCTGGTAATTACTTAATAAGTGTTGCCGGTAATGAAGTTAATGTCCAACACGCCTTTATTAGTTTACTGAAATTAGGATATTGGAACTAAATTGTTTTGATTATTAGTTGTAAGTTGTTTAAAAGTGATTTGAGAATTTGGAATGATCCACTATAAAAGTAGCAACTTCACAAATTTGTTTTTATTTCTAGTATACTGTACTGGATCATTTTAGGTTGTACCTCATTGTTAATATTTGTTCAAAATGTAGAAAATCTATTTTTGTATGTTTTGTAATTTTTGTAGTTAGAACAAATCGTTTAATTTTTTTCCTATTGGTGTTATTTGCCCTCCAAAAAATTTGTAGTCTTAGTACAAATCGGATTAATATATTTTAATAAATTATTGTATGCGCTGTGATTGTCAAAGAATTGAGTGTAAATAAAGTTATTATAAGTTTCATGTGCAAAATATTTTTGAGATTTTTGTGCAGATGTCTCTTCTTTTGTACTAATAATAATTTATCAAAAATAATATAACCGTTAACACATTTAATGAGGTTGTTTTTTTAAATCAATATCATTAAAAACCAACTATTATTGTAAATATGTAAAAATCGATTTGGTTCCCGGTGGAACACCCTGTATATTGCTTATATCTACAACGAAAGTCTATAATGGCAACTTAGTATTTTTTCAGTAGTTTTGAAATCTTTGGATCATTCTGAATATGGAAATATCAAATTTGAAGCTGTTTGACGAAGTTTGAAAATTTTAAAACGAAATTTGTTTTTGGGTTGAGAATACCAGGATTTATCTGAAACTTCCAATTTGAAAAGTTGCAAAAAAATATCGACAAGCCCCGGTATCGGGAGTGGCGAGAAGCTGTTATGTTACACAACCCTACGTCTTTCAGACGTTTGCGTGAAGACGTCGTATGTTACACATACACAATCTAACGTCTTTAAGACGTTTGTTATAAAGACGTCTTCAGGAATAATAAGACATTCTAACGACGTCTTTAACGAGATGTCTCAAATAAAAATAATGTCTTCTAAACGTCTTTTTTTGATCTTCAGACGTTCAGACATAATACAGACCTGAAATGGTCGTCTTTATTGAAACTGTGTGTTGTCAAATTTAAGTTAAATGTAATGCATATATCATGCTCAAGTTGATATAAATGATTTATATTAATGTAAACTTTATTACAAAGATTACATCAATTTTACATAAATATTATTAGTAAAGTCTGTCGATTTTAATCTGATACTTGAAAGAAATGTGAGCTTGTGTTGTGGCACCCTGTATTAGAACTGTATATGCCACACCTGCTCGCTCCTCATACAGAAAATGTCAGATTAAAAACGACGGATAATGTTTAATAGTTTTAGATACCCAGTCAACAAATATTTTATTAAATAATCAAAATCAAAGTTGCAAGCAAAATAATTTAAAATACGCATGAAAACATATTCAAAACAGACATGCTTGGCCGCCACGCCATATTGAATTTTCCTCTTTGACAGATGGATTCGATTGCCTAATGAGAAAACCTCTATACGTAAATGTTATGTAATATCTGTAGACGATAATAATATACCTATAGTTTTTCATATACCTGAACGTATGACATTAATTATACGATATGTAAATTGAGCTTGTTTTAAAATAAACGCTAATCCTTTCCTTTTCACGTGGCTCCGGTTTAAACTAACCAACCGGGTTAAAAAACGGTTAGAGAAATGAAATACCGTTTTCTAACCCGGTTACAAAGTGATGTGATCGATACCACTCGAATATGAGCGGTATGTTGCGGTTTGTTAAACCGGAGCCATGTGAAAAGGGTTTCTGGTTACTTTGAAATTTAAGGCCCGGTTAGATAGACTTGCTGGTTGGCAACTATCTGCAAGATAAACTATTCTTCTATAATTCTACCGGTCGGCTGATCCATGGAATTACAGAATGCGTTTTTATCCGTCAGATTGCATACCTGACAGTTTATCAAAAGGTGAATAAACCGACCCTTAGATATGCAAAAACAAAACCAAAAATTATTTTAAAAAAATAGGTAATCGATTTATTCGTAAATATTTTATTAATCGATTATTTGTAAATAATTGATAAATCGAAAATAATCGAATTATCGAAAATAATCGGTTGCTTATCAGCCTCGTCTATGGGAATCGCGGCCATATTGGTATAGCACCATTGATGGCGTCATCAACTACGTCGTCAGCTGTTTGCGCCATCGGTCGTAGCAAGGTTCCCACAATTATTAACCCTTTTCACGTGGCTCCGGTTTAACAAACCGCAACATACCGCTCAAATTCAGGTGGTCTCGATCACGTCACTTTGTAAGCGGGTTAGAAAACGGTATGTCATATACTTGACATACTGCTACTAACCGTTTTGTAACTCGGTTAGTTTAAACCGGAGCCACGTGAAAAGGACTATTGCATTTTACGAAAATAGTTACTTGTTTTGAGAAAATAGTGACTTGTATTGCTGTATATTGCGCATTGATTGCAAATAAGCAATACAAAAATAGTTATTTGTTTTACTAGTCAGAAAAGTACAAGATTTAATGCCGCGGCTGGTGTTTCATAGGAAACCAGCCGAGGCATTAAATCTGCTTTTCTGCCATGTAAAACATATAATTTTTTCTCCGAATGTTCAAATTCACACATGCACATCTTTTTTATATTTATTTGATTCATTATTATTATCCAAATAATTAAATTATTTTGACAATTGTCATTGTCACCGTCAATTTCAAATACCAAATTGAGTGAAATTATTACCTGGAACGTTGTGACACTGTCACTTTTAATGCCTAGGCAGTAAAAGTCCATTTTTACTGCCTAGGCAGTAAAAATACAACTTTTGATCCTGTCATGTGTCATTAAAAGGCCGCTTTTACTGTCATTCGGAGAAAAATTACATTTAATTATCATTAATTTCGTGATCCATTGGCAGAATCCGCGCTGCCTTTTTGTATTTCATTGGGAACGTATTTTTTTTTTAATGCACTGAGTTTTGCACTGAGTGCTGTTGGTGCGCTACCGGCTAAAAGGCTCTTATCGGCCTTGTTGTTGAAATTGAGGTTATTGTTGGTTGTTTTTTCCTAAAAAAACAGTCGCAAATTTTATTTTTCAAAGCGGGAAGAACTTCTTATTTAAATTAAATTATAATAATTTATAATAAGCACCACAAAAGTAGTCTTTTTAATGACTTTTGACGTATATAGGATGTTGTAGTACCAAAGGTTCCTAAAGTTAATAGGTTGTCTGGTAATGGGTAACTTGATGACGCATATGGGGTGCCCAATGGAGATTTGCATAATATAGACGCATTCCAGATTACGTCATAAAGTTATCAGGCAACCTAACCTTCCTCTCTCAAACAACCTTGATACAGTACGATGATGTTTCATTGCAAGATGATACACACCTACAGACCAAAGATTTTAAAATCACGATTCGACACACGACTCGACTCGATAACGAGACGATTTTTCCGACAATCTTGGAGTGCGTTCGAAATCACCCTGAGCGTCACACCAAGTGCACACCAGCCATGAATAATTCATAGCTGGTGTGTACTCGCTGTTAACGCCTAGGGCGATTTCGAACGCACTCCTAGGTTAGAATCTCATTGGAATCATAACTTTCGAGACGACAGGGCCGGTATCGAGCTGCGTCTCGTTATCGAGCCGTGTGTCGAATCGTGATTTCAGAATCTCCCCCCAGGCCGGGGATTCTAAAATCACGATTCGACATACGAGTCGACAACGAGACGATTTTTCCGACGATTCTAGGTTAGAAATCTCATTGGAATTATACCTTTCGACACGACAAGGCTGGTATCGTTGTCGAGTCGTGTGTCGAATCGTGATTTTAGAATCTCGGCCAGGATTGCTTATCGGCCTCGTTTTTGGTAATCGCCGCCATAATTGGTGTGTCATCATTTCCGACGTCATAGCTAAGTCGTCAGCTGCTTAAACAGCCTACGTCAAGGCAAGAAATAACATGTTAGGTCTGTTCCCACAGGAGTCTCTGACAGTTTGCAAACTGTCAGTAACCATCGCCCATACATGTTTTCAATGCTGTCGTTACAAGATAAATCTGTAACTCAGCTGAGCGATTGTTTCTGACAGGTTGCAAACTGTCAGAAACTCCTGTGGGAACAGACCTGTTGTCTACGTCACAAGGGGAGGATCTGTTCCACACATGCTTTATGAGAATAGGCTATCCTGTGTGTATCATCTTTGGTTTCATTGACATTAGGAGTATTGGGACTGCACACGTGCAGTTTTTTTAAAACACGAGAACGGTGTCAGTGGGAGTGTTTTACTGACTCTACCAATGAAATACGCTATTAGTGAATCTCAAGCCGCGCATGCGCATGAGAATAGTTCTGGAACCAGAGGCGTTTTCTCGCGTCTCAAATGTTTGAAAACATTTTTCAAAACTGGTTTAAGTAATGTCACTATGACGTCATAATTTCTCGGAGCAAGAAAATGGTTTGAAAACGTGGATTGGATTGTATTTCGAAACGAATTGAACCAATTTTGACGTGACGTCATGGGTTTAATGCGAGAATGCACTGTTTCAAAACAGTTTTGAACCAGTTTCAAAGAAGTAGTTGCGAGAAAACGCCTCAGTTTATAGACTTATTATTTATCTCTGTTTGGAACCTTTCCGCAATGAAAATTAGCTTTGTTAAATGATTTCGAAACAGATTTACAACTTGTCTCGAACTTATTCGTTCTTGCTCTCTCCTTGGAACCGATAGAACTAGATCATAATGGATTCGGGCTGGGATCACGACAAGTAAAATAATTCTACTTTCATGACGTCACCTGCGACTTATTTATCGCGTATAGTACCGGTTGCTAGACAACCTGACGTCATGAAAGTAGAATTATAGTAGAATTATTCTACTGGGGTCCCAGCCCAGTTACACTTTCAGCAAAAAAGTAATAAAGGCCTGTTTCTAAAGAAATCACAAACCAGTCATTGGTTAAAAATAGTCAGAAACAGTCAGAAAACTAGTATCAATAACCAATTCACTCTAATTGTTTTGTGATTTCTCTAAATGATATTTTTT